GATATGAACAAAACAACTATGAATGAATACAACTCAAATATATATTTCAATCACGCCAGTACCAGTTATAACACTATTGATGATACCGTAGCGATTGAAACTGGTGCTTCAAAAATAATAGCAACGAATGAGAATTTAACAACAATACCCGAAACTGAGAGTCAGACTGGTGAAACTTTAATCAGTTTGAGGTTGATTGAATTCAATCAAATCATAACAGAAAACAGTGGGCTACAAGCAGAAAACAAAATTCTCAAAGAATCTAATCTAAAGTTCCAAAATCGTAAGTGATCCCATTCGACGTACTTCACCGGTTTTTTTTGCTTGTGGGTGCGTTTAGAAAAAAAATATTAACATATTATATTTTTTAGTTAAAGAAGAAACTGACAGAGGCTTTAAGGCATTACAAGTACAACTGGACAAATTATATGATATTCTGAAACATAAACAATCTTATATTGATACTATTAGTACTGCTGGTACTTCCGTATCAACAAATTTTGATGAGGAAATAGCTCAGAGGAACATTCAATTTCCAATTAATTCTATAAAAAACTTAGAATTACTAGAAGATCAACTCATTGACACGAATTTCGAAAAAGTTTTGGTAAAGATATTATTATTTTAATACTATAAAATATTTATCACGGTTACAATGGGTATAATATTTGTTCTTATTAATATTTCAGGTCAAAAAATTTTCTAGAATATGCGGTACGAGTGGAATGTTAAAAATATCAAAGATTGGGTTACAGTTAACAAGATGTTTATTCACCGACGAACTCCTTAACCAGTTAACCTGGAAAGGAATTAAAGGCTGTACTAAAGTACCCTTTATGAACTTCATCAAAACAAGAAATCTGTTTTTTAAAATTATACATTTGGCTGATAAGTGTTGCTCTGCAAAGGATTCTGACGTATTTTTGCAGAACAGTGCGATAAAACATAGTGGCCAGCGCATGAAGCGAAATTCGTAAGTGCAAACAACTACTTATTTTCTTTTTATTTACATCTGCATTATGTTACTCCTACAAAGGAGTGTTTAAGTGGTGGCTACTGGGTTTACACACTGTATATTGGTATCTTTATAAATTACACAGCATAAAATAATGTTTTAAAACGTCCTGTTTTGCTTTTAGCTCTGCAATGAAAATAATCAACCCAAAAAAAAACAAAATTGAAATTGAAAAGAAGACTTCTACTGAGAATGAGGATCCTTCATCAAACAATTTAGAAACTATAATAATAAATACTCCAGATAAAGAAATTCATGAAGAAGAGGCAAATGAATTATTGCGGGATGGGTTTCGTGGGTTAGATGATAAGGAAAACAAAATCGGTATGTTACTTAGAGAATAACGCCATTAATTTCATTTAATTATCTTTAATGAACATAAATTAACTCTAGTCATTGTACATTTCAACAGATGATACGCCAGACACAAAAAATCGTTCTATTAAAGCACCGAAAACAGTGACAGTACTCTCTGATGTAAAAATAAGCAACAAGACGACCGATTCAAAACATGAGACTAAAATGATGAATGTAAGTTCTTACGATCTACGTCAAGTTTTCGAACAAAATGAGGAGTGCAACAAAATTACGAACAGTGATTAAACTAATTATTTGTTTAAAATTTTATTGATATAATTTATAAGTAGATCAGTTAAAGTTTAAATGGTGAAATGTACCTATTTATCTGACAGTTTGTAATTGTTTTGAAAAGTTTTAATTGACGTTTTTTTTTTATATTTTTGATAATTTTGTGTTAATTTTTTAAAAAGATTTATCTGATTGTTTGAGAGTCATATTATTATTATTGGTTTTATTGTTTTTATTTAAATTATTATGTTTTCGGCTTACTTACGTAATAATTTGACGAGGAACTCGACTAGTTTCAAGCCATGCTAGAGGCTCATATTCATGAGCGGCGCGGCGCCTGTCGCGCTGCTACTGAGTAGCGAGTCGAGTAGCAGCGCGACAGTCGCCGCGTCGGTCATAAAATGCTGCTCTAGTCGAGTTCCTCGTCAAATAATTACGTGAGTAAGCCGAAAACATAATAATTTATTTAGTATGCCTCACGAAAGTTACAATAATATTGTTTTTATTTGTTTATTTTCTCTCCAAATGTTGTCAATACTGGAATAAACACCATTTGAGAGTTGGAAACCATAGATGTAAGTTTACATTTCACATCATTTAGATTGTATTTCTTTAATTCTTCAAGTTCGTAAGGAAGTAATGTTGCATAAATATTTATATGGGAAGAATTAAATGGTCGCTCAAAAAAATTACATTTGTTTTTTATATTCCTTCCAACGATTTGTATGTTTCCTTGATCAAAAGTTGCAAATTTCATTTCTACGATATTATTGTTGACAGTTAAAAACCATTTATCTTTAATGTATTTTGAAAGCTGGTAATTCTCACTCATTTTTACAGTTGTAAATACTTTTTCACCCGTATCCAACAAACTTTCATATTTGACATGAGCATTCATCCGTTTGGATTTGTGGCCCTTGATGTTTAGCTTTGACAATTCCTGTATGCGATTTGCTACTTGCTCCAAGGGTTGGTTGCCTTTTCGTAAAAGGTTTTTAATTCGAAACAACATACTTTCAAATGGATATGCACTTAAAGAAGGTAGAGAGCCGAACCTTGAGACATCATGTACAATATGACAAAGATTATGAATATTACTGCTCACAGAATCATGACCGTAAATTTCTGCGAATTTTTCGATGTAGTCAACAAAAAGTTTTTCAGCTATGTGACGGTAAGATACATAAACGTCAGAATAACAAATAGTGGTGGCACAGAACAATGTTAAAAAATGTTGATATACTTCACATGATAAGTGTTCTTTTAGCACTACTGGACCAAAGTATAACAAGAAGTTTTTAAATTCAGCACCTTTCCAAAAGTGAAGGGTATCTAATTCTCTCAGTCTTCCTTGATGTATTTCAGATGGAGTAGTTGATTTTATTTCCATAAGTTTTCTTGAAACGTCCTGTATTTCCCTTGCCGACCACTTTGTTCGGAAATTAAAACTGCCGTTAGTCCATCCTAGTAAACATCTCTTCATAACACCCAAATCTAACAAATGAAGAGCATCTGCGATCGTAAAATCGTTAACAAGATCTATAGGTAAATCTTCGATTGGACTTTTTTCTTTATGGTGATCAGGATCTAATCGATTTCTAAATGAATGGTCAGTACGCAAAGCCATGTCCGTTCTGGGAAAACTCATATGCCGACCTTTTCTATCGTATTCTCCGATTACTGTACATTTCATGCATCCGTGGTAACTATTAAACCCCACAGTACCTAAAATGAAAAAATATCACGAAATAATATACATTATATTCGAATTGCACGGAGGTACGGTAAACTACTTACATTACCAAAATCCATATTAATAGTATAAATGCGAAAGTAGCTCTGTCTTTCTCAGTTACCTACCTTTTCTCTATTTATTTAGTTATTTGGCATTATTGTGTACAGCAGAAGAACATTATGTAAGTAGGTGTAGGTAGTTTTATTAAATAGATATTATTTATAAATGTATATCCATATTTAATTTAGCACTCACCTTTTATAAAGCATCTCGCAGGGGTGTCACATATGAAGCAACGAATTCTGATCGGAACGATTTGCCTTTGAATGAGTAATCCACCTTGAAGTAACTTGATGAGCTCGTTTACAAATGGACGCAAAAATAATTCCAAACACGGTTTTGTGCTTCCGAAAAATATTGCTATAACTAATGGAGCAACATCCATACCGTCTATTTTACACAAAATTGGCCAAAATTCATTTTTTGTGCTATTGGCTACTGGCAAGCCGTCTATGTTAAAAGACAAAAATATGCACGTCGGTAACTCTGAGATCATTTGAGAGAAAACTTCTTTCAAACAATTCTCTATGCCATTATACCAATATTTTCCATTTCCCATTGGTATTATGTTATTAAATTTTGGCGTTTTTAATAAACTTCTACTGTCTTTTGGTAAGATTTTTTTTAAATCCATGTTTGAATTGTCTCTCAATATAGTAAGTAATTCCTTTAAGGCATTTTGAGGAATCTGGTACCTTAATGCCCATTGCTGAATTTGGTCTTTTACATTTATTGAATGTATTTCGCTGTCAGAATCAGACGATTCTTCAATTTCTGCTGCAGAACTATTGGTATCCAGCCCCTCACTGACATCACATATATTATGAGAGGTCACAACTGCATCTAATTTCACGTTTGACACTTCGGAAGTTGGTCCACCGCACTAGGCTGTTTGGAACTAAACTGTACAGCATCAGGCATTACAGAACGATTTTCTTGAATTTTATATGATGAAAACGTTGCATTAGGATATGTTGAAAAATATTAATTTTGAATTTTAAGGCTGACCTCAACTTAAGTAAAAGTTATTAATTAACATGCCCACCAAAATTTTATTTCAAACAATTTAATTTTAAAACAAAAATTATGTACTTACTTGGAGATTGATATTTTGGAACCAATAATTTGTTAACTTTTCTGTAGAAAGTCGATGTGAGACGGAATCTTTTCGGTTCTTTACTCATTTTCAACTGCAATCATTTGACCACTTCTCGAATCAGTTTTAGAAACAGTGACTTTTAATTCACATTTCAGTAATATATTGTTCAGTAATAATGACGTAACATTACGACACTTCGTGTAAATTTAAATTTTAAGTAATTATTCTAGTAGCATGGTGACCACGCCGCTACCACACATTTTTACTCGATTGTACACATGTTACAAACTTAACACGAAGTGTTTAAAAATAAGTCTACACAAATGTTTACGTTACATGTGAACACAAAGACTACTTCAACTTACTGAAATGTTTTTCGGTCAAATTGTGTACGAACTATTACTACACATAGAGACCACACCCCACACAGTCACCATGTTTCGTAACAATTACGAAACTGTTGCGACTTGTTACATCTCTAACATATCTGCGACCAAAAAGCGCTATATGGGACCCACATACTTATAAAGGAAGTTGTTCGTCCACGAGTCCCCGTGAGATATAACTCCAGTTTCATCAGTTTTTGTCGCCGCATCTATCATATTTTGGTACCTTTCTGGTACCGCAAACTCCTTAACCTTCTCCACGTAAATGGAGTCAGGGTATTCCTTTTCTACCGCGTCGATGGCTATACCTGAAATCCTCTTCCAAAATCTCGTGTACCAATCCCATAAACGATCATGGTAATAGACTTCTGTAAGGTGAGTCTTTAACTTCCTAAATTCTTCTGGCTTCTGGTCTTTCATAGCGAAGGAGAGGGCGTGGAACTGCGCTAGTATTTTGAAAGTCAACTTGCAATGTTCTAAGTCGATCCCTTCTTGCCTCACTGCGCTCCCAAACTGATATAAGCTTGCGTCCTCTAAGCAAAGAACGTCGTTGGTCCCATCGCAGAAAGAAAAGAACATTTTGGTGTATTTATCGAAAGGGTCTTTTACATTTTTCGTGGATTGGAAGTCCAGTAAAGCTGGTAGGACTTTCTCGTAGAACATGATCTCGTTTTGGAAGAACTCGTGGCTCCTGAAAGTCAATCTCCTTGCGATGCTTTTAGGGATAGATTTGAGGATAACTTGGACATGGTTTGCGACGTTATTCTCATCAGTGCCATGTATCCTGATGCGGATCAGCTCGCTGAGATAGGAGTCACCTTTTCCGGTGTCACTGACGTACTGGAAATGGACAATTTGGCATTTAAGTGTTGGTTTAAAGATAGCAAACAGTTAACAATGATGATTCTTAGTCTACATTACTTAATATTTCTTACGCCTTATACTTCTTATGTCCGTGTTGCATTTTCAACATTGGGCATTGGGTATTAAATATTAAATGCGTATGGATGCGGAGATGCGAATGGGGCCTTATAGCACGGAGTTTTAGAATTGTAGCCCATATGGCAATAGTCTCGCCTCCAATTACATACAAATGACTTATAACATAATTGGTGAAGATATGTGCATTGTATATTGACGCAGTTACTCCCGTGCGCTCTGTTCGGCGCCTATTGCTCGTAGTGTGATGTGATGATGCCTTCCTCGTTTGTTTGAACTACTGGTTTGGTACTACTGGTCCGATCTGAAAAATTATGTTTGTGTTGGATACCTAGTCCATTTATCGAGGAAGGCAATAGGTGAACAGAGCGAATGAATCTGTGTAAGAATAGCTAGCAATAAGATTATAATATTATGAGACATGTAAAAAGTGTAACGGTATGAAAACATCAAGGATCAAATCTGAGAAGTGAGAACTCGTATTCATAAATTGTACACTTCTAATCTAGATATCGTCCGTAATCTGTATATGTATAAAAAATTAAAATCTGTATATGTATAACAATTGAATCAGTCATATAGGTGGATTGACTTTTTTATGGAATAAGCCTGTAAACGAGCAGTCAGATCACCTGATTGTATGCAATTGGCGTCGCCTATGAATACCCGAAACACTAGAGGCGTTACAAATCCATTACCGGTCTTTGGGGATTAGGAATTCGAGGATTGTTGGGGATTCAGGGATTGGAGAGATTGCGTAAGGGGGAGGGGTAATTGGCCTTCCGGTGACCTTACTCTTATCTATACCAAAAAAAGTTTAATATGTCATCATAACATGCGTGTTAGGAAATAAAGATTAACCGCTTAAACCAATAAATAACTACTTAACTCATTTGATAGCCGACCGCACTATCAAACGCGTATCATTCGATCAACGCTTTTTCACACAAAACATCACTTATAGTCCCGATAAGGTACCTTTACTGAAGTACCTACGTCCTACATTAATAGTTTAACACTGACTTACTTTTATTTCATCACTATAAAATCTGAGCGATCTGTAATTCTAAATGTGTTCTATGTTTTTTAATATATTTTTTTTACATACATAACTTCACGCCTGTCTCCCATGGGGGTAGGCAGAGACTAGGGAACGCCAATTACTACGATTCCTACATACCTCTTTCGCTTCATCAACAGTCATCAATCTTTTCATGCATGCTCGTCGGTTATATACATATATGTCGAAGCGTCAACGGATATCAATCGATTTAGATGTGGCAACTATTGTTTGAATATATATAACTAGCTTTTACCCGCGGCTTCGCTCGCGTCACAAAAGGATAAAAAGTAGCCTATGTGACTATCCATCCCTTCAACTACCTTCAGTAAAAAAATCACGTTAATTAGTACCTCCGTTCTGCCGTCAGGCAAACAAACAAACAAACAGCTTTACACTCGCGTGGAGTTCGGTTATGTCGCGCTATTTACATTTTTCCAATAAGTAGGTAATTCGTTGATTGGTTTTAAATGATATACAGCGCCATCTATACCAATATTTTTGTTTTTCCTCGGAAATATAAATTTTTCCGGGATAAAAAGTACCCTATTATTTAATCCAGACTTCTAACTTTACGTCTGCAAATTTCAAAGCAATCGGTTTAATAGTTACGGCGTGAAAGCGGAACAAACAAACAATCAAACAAACTCACTTTCCGATTTATAAGTAAGGAAGTAAGGATTTTATTTTTACTTTTAGCCAACTAATTAAACACTAGGTTCCACCCGCGTTTCCGTGGGATAAAAAGTAGCTTGTGTCATTCCAGGCATATAGGTACTTCAGTGCCACATTCAGCACTACGGAAACTCGTTATCAACAATAAATATGAAATTATTAAGATCACCTCTTTAGAAACATGATTAATGCATTAGGTATTGGTATTGATAAAAAAATAGATAAAACACTTTTTCAATTTTTTACGGAAAATGCAAAAAGTGCGGCGTTTTTCAAAATCGTTTTGTAAGGACAAAGAATCTGTATACTTCTAGATGCCGACTGAATGATAATTATTTATTTAAAACACGCCTTTGAAGCGTACTACATAACGACTACTTTCCACCTCTTTCAGTTATCAGATGTCGTATATTACTGAAACGGTAATGCTGAAATAATCAAGCGTCACTCAATTTAAGTGTGGGAGAACCAGGCTTCGGCACGAATGGGCCGGCTCGACCGGAGTCATACCACGGCCAAGCAGAAGACTGACGTGAAACAACGCTTGCGTTGATTGCTTACAATCAGGCGATCCGTCTGCTCGTTGGCTGCACTATAAAAATCAACAAAAAGGCCACATTTCATTGCAATATTTCTATAAAATTGGAACTTAATTCATGTAAATAGCACACAGGTGAAGCCGCGAGCGGATAACTCGGTCATGAATAAGATGAGTCATACATATACAATTCATAAGTCATTGACTCCATCCAGTGAACAAGATAAGCGGATTATTTTTATGTACGCACATATTTTATAGTACATACATTATAACGTAAACAATAAACTACTATTAATGATAACTTATAAGCTTTAAATAAACATTGAACTAAGAATGAGGTTGGTATACTACGTCATTTGGCTATAAGCCCATTTTTTTATTTATATATATAAAGGGCCGCAAACTAGCTATAGCTATGAATAGTTTGCAATCGGTACCGCCATGGCCATCTGCAACACCAGAGAATTTGCGAGTTTGCCCCTTGCAACTAGGGTTGCCACCCGTACTTTATAATAACGTATTGTACGTTATTTAAGGTAATTGTACTCTATACTTTATAAGAATATTAAAGTACACGAAAATACTTTATTTTTGCAAACTTCATTTCTATTAAAGTCGTAAGTATTTTTCGGTAAACTTATCGATTCAATATCGATTTATGTTGAATCGATAACTCGTCAGCGCCACTTAGACAATTTCTAGTAAAGATGCAATTGTTTAGTATTTCAATGCAATTGTTCAGTAAAGATACTAATTTAATACAAACTGCAAAAAGCAATAAAAATACATTTTTAAATATAATACTTGTAAATTGTACTTTATTTTTGTACTGTGTACTTTTTTTTTCTTACCTATAATCGTCAATGTACTTTAAATACCAAAGAAAAAGGTGGCAACCCTACATGTAAAAAATATGCAAAAAATCTCACCTCCCAATGTGTGAACGTGAATGGTCGTTTGAACCAATCGGAGAGCGCCGCGCTGAGCCTCTCATTAGTCAGCACGGGAGACACGTGGGTCAATGTACTGTAGTCGTCTGACATCGCGGGTTACGCTGAAACTAAATATATTTTTTTACTGAATAATAATATCATTAAATCTGTTAATCCCTGAAGGTATTATAGGACCCTCCTACAGTAAATTCCTTCGGTAGTTCGGTAGTAGTATCCTCTAAATTGAACCTAACTGCAATCCTTGTCCGAAAGGCGAACCCAATTCCAGGGGACTTACTCTTGAATCTGATTCCGATCGATCGAAATTGACATTCGTACTCTTGAGTCGCAACACTAGCGCCCATTGCATCTGTATTGCGTGGCTATTGATTGAACTAAATGGTATTGAGTTTGGCTTTATATTCCGTACTCTGAATCCTATTTTAACAGCTACGATTGTGGTTGTATAGTGTTGACATTCCATAATTATTGAGATTTTATTGGATGAAAGTGCATTGACATTGAGATTGGTTTCAAAAGTAAGCACCCTGATGCTGATGTTCGGCATAACTTAAAGCCATAGAGCCTCGACTGTTGACTAATAAGGCAAGGCTGTCAATATTTCTACCGACTTCAAAAAAAGACGGAGGTACCTACTATGTTCGAAAGATTGTTTTTTTAGCGACCATTACCGATTTTTATTATTTTATCGAACCTTCTATATTTTTCAAAAAATATTACTTTTACAACACAATGCTCACAATTTAGAGATAACTAACTTATCTTTTATACGACATACGTTTCCAATTAATAGAATACTATCAGAATATATTTATCAACAAATTAAAAAGAAAAAACGCTTGTTTGGTCCCAAGTGTATCCCCCCAATCCCTGAATCCCCAACGATCCTCAAACTCCTAATCCCCAAAAAGCCGGTAACGCACTTGTAACGCCTCAGGTGTTCCAGGTGTCCATAGGCAACGCCGATTGCTTACCATCAGGTGATACGTCTGCTCGTTTACCGGCTTATGCCATAAAAAAATCAATGTATGACGTTTTTTTAAAGAAATTTCATCTTTATTGACCCTAACGATCGATACAATAAAAGTACAGGATGCAACTTTTACAGATTTTAGTCGGTTCGATTACCGTGTGCGACAACCGAGTTTTTAAAAATCTTTGAATGCCGTTTTCAAAAATAAAAGAATGTTTTCTTTGAGTAAAATTTTCTATATAAAGTATTAAACGCACTTCCCCTTCAGGTGGCATTAAAAAATTCCACCCTGTATATTTAAATTAATTTGGTTAAAAGCGTAATACACCATTGTATAGAGATACCTACTACATGTGAAGTACTTTATGTAATGACAAGACACTAGAATGTTCAAACAGAACACTCCTCCCATATCTTGTTATACCTTGTAAAACAAGACCAGTGGCATAGATAAACATTTGTTGGACAAACACTTTAGTGAATAACTTTCGTATCTGACTAATCTTTTAGTGTGAGAGAATCATGCTTCGGCACGAATGGGCCGGCTCGACCGGAGTGATACCACGGCCGAGCAGGAAACCGACCTGAAACAAGGCCGTGGTTACAGGAGGCTAAATTACCTCCCCAATCTCTCCAATCCCTGAATGCCCAACAATCCTCAAATTCCTTATTCCCAAAAGGCCGGTAACGTACTTGTAACGCCGCTAGTGTTCCATGTGTCCATAGGCGATTGTTTACCATCAGGTGATCCGTCTGCTCGTTTACAGGATTATACCATAAAAAATATGTTACTAATGCGAAAGTTTGTGGGTTTTTGTGTTAATTTATTTGTATGTATATTTGTTAGTCTATGACGTCAAAGTAGCTGAAAGGATCGGTATCAAAGTCAAAATCATAGTACGAAAGTTGCTAGTTTCTGAGATATTCAACATTTTCGGTTTTGGTGAAAAAATCCCGATCGAACTACATAAACATCAATAAATTAAAAACTAATCATTTGATTTAAGTGATTTTTGTTTTAATTTCTTGTCAATACATCAATAAACATTTACTTAGTAAGCAAGAAAAATTAGTATTAAATTTTGTTTTGAGTCACTAATTTGGAAAACTGCATTTAGCTTAAAAAATTGATATTACACTAAGCATACAAACTATTAGAAAACCTTCCTTGGTTTATTAGCTACCCAAACATACTAAATAATTTATAAAATTCTCAAAACTGAATTCATAACTTGATGATTTCAAAAACACATTATTTACAAAAAGGTTTATTGTTTTTTATTCTTTTCTTTACTCTTTTAAGTTTATTATTATTCACATATATTTATTTAAAATTCTCTACTATTTACAATTTTAAATACGACTTATAAAAAAAAAATTAACAATATAAAAAAATAGGAGCCGACCAGTAGCGGGAGCATGGTCAAAGCTACCGGTGGTTAGAGCTCCAGAAACAGAAACCTCCTAACGATACGTCCTGTTTCTAGGAGAACTGCCTTCTGTATCAAGCCATTGATCCTTCCACCTAACGCTAGCCTCCTGAGATGAATGTCGAGGCTTTTAGGGATTAACCCATTGGCCGACACAACTATCGGCACAATGATAGCTCCACACTCTACGTGTTGACAACCTTGTGAGCTAAGTCTAGATATTTATTATTATTATTTTGTACTATATACGTAAGTATCTGTATTTTTATTTTTTATAATATTTGTATTTGTGCGCTCATTTGTCAAATATACATAATTATGGTTATTATTTACTTTATTTATTGTTTTCTTACTGTATCTGTTGCTAATGAAAGAGATGAAAAATACATTGCTTGTAATTCCTGTAAATGTAATTATTATCCGAATACATCTCCGACTTCATTAGTTCAGGACTCATACAAATACAAAATTGTAATATGCTGCAGGCTCCTGGCATGATCGGTTATGGTTTCATCCAAAACAATTAGCATATTCACTACCTCTTATACCACATATTGACTGCCTCATTGACCGAATGGTCGCAAGTGCGACTGTCGGGCAAGGGGTCTCTGGTTCAATACCCAGGTTGGGCAAAAGTATTTCTGGGTTTTTTAAAAATCCCATTAGTAGTAGCATATGTAGAGTATGAAATAGTGCCCAGTATATGGCAATAGTCTCACCCACTAAAATATGGGACTTATAACATAAATAGTAAAAAGTGTGTGTTACATTGTACAGTGGCATTAAGTGCCATAATGTGCACCTCTGCCTACCCCTTTGGGGGAGAAAGGCGTGATGCCTTGTAATGATTAGCATATTCATGAGTTCTTACTTATCATCTATTATACATATTGTGCATAAATGATAGCTTCTGACAGTAGCTTCAACTACATCCCCGTGGGATAAAAAGTAGCCTATGTGTTATTCCAAACCATAAAATACACCTAGGGGTTTACTCTTCAATTCAATTCTGATCGATTGACATTGGTACTGTGAAATGTGCTCTTGAGTTGCAACACTAGTGCCTATTGCGCGCGCATATATTATTTGGCTATTGAATTAACTAAATGGTTTTCCGTTTGGCATTATAATCCATAATCTGAATGCTATTTTAACAGCTACGGTAGGGGTTGTATAGTTTTGACATTGAATAATTATTGAGATTATTGATAATTATTGAGACATTGAATAATTATTAAGTAAGCACCCTGGTCTAAATTTCATCGCAATCCCTTCATCCGTTTTGCCATGAAATAAAGAGTGAGTAACAAACACACACATACATCCTCACAAACTTTCGCATTTATAATAATAATATGAAGTGAAGTAGGATTTTAATTGATTCTGAATTTTTGCTTCATACATTTGAGGTGAACTAATATTATAGCGACAAATAACATTCTAGACTAGCCAGTATGACGTGGCCACCTTTGAAACGCCTAGGTGACTACAAAAACTATAAATAATAATTTTTTTAAAGTATTTACTTACGATTAATAACATAAAAATATGAAACAAGTTTCCACATTGGACCAGAGTAAAATAATTGAACTGTGATAACGAACAATGCCTAGAGTAGTAATTAGTTTGTAAGTAATTATATTTTAAATTAAATAAATAAGGAGTTGTAGGTTCGGTAATTCTTCAATTAAATTCTCATTGTACTTACCTACGTTTAAAACAGAATAAAAGCCGCGCGCTCGACAAGAGTTCACCAATCAGAATTATTTGATATGTATGACGAAGAGATAAGAAGCACTGTAATAGTTCAATCAAATGCGTGTGATAAAGTTTAGCCGCTAAATTGAAATTGAATCGGAGCAAAATACCTCGATTGTTGACATCCTGTAATTCAGTGTTGCCAACTACGATTTTATTTTTCCCCTGTACAGTTTACCATAATCTTTTTTTTATTTTTATAACGGGTACCTACAATAGGATGTGTCTACCAACCAACCTATCAGAGAGCTTAGTACGAGATTTTTTTCGCGTTCGGTGATCTTACTGGCCGGCTCCAATGAACCAACCAAAACCAAACTCTAAGCCCTTTGGGCGGCTCTGGGCGCACAAATTACAAGTTCACACATACATGTTGACATGACACCAGACACGGATCACATAACCACACACCGTGCGAGACGGAAAAACTGATTATGTGATCGAACCCACTACACGTTGTGTCAAGGACAGCGGTTTTTAAAGGTGTCTGGGCAAGTCACTTACTTTACGAGTCATTTAATATAAGTACCAAAATTTGGGACTCACCGGGAATTATAACCGTTACCAATTAACCTAAAAGGACTTTTGAAATAACAAACAAAACAAAGTATACAATTTATTACAGCACATTTTTATTACCTACTTAATTTAATAACTACAATAAAAAAGTTGGCCATTATAGTTTTAACACCAACTTCAACTTGGGCGTACTCTTAATCTCAATTAGAGAGTGTTAGATATAATAATATTATGTTTAATTTAATTAGATATTTTGTTATACTTCCGCGTGGCTGCACCTGCTCTGCTTGGCTCCTATTGATCGTAGCGTGATGTTGTGTAGCCTATTACCGTCCCCGATAAATGGACTATCCAACACATCAAAAAATATTGAAATCCGACTAGTTGTTCCGGAGATAAGCGCGTTCAAATAAACAAACAAACTCTTCAGCTTATATAAAGTAGCGTAAGATAGTTCTTATACTCCTATATATAAATTCGATATTTTGTTATAACTATTAACTATATAGTAAACTATATAGTGAATGTTACCTTGTACAGTGGCATTAAATGCCATAAAGTCCACCTCTGCCTACTTCATCGGGGATAAAAGGTATGATGATATTTAATATTATTATAATATATGCTATTTACAGTTTAATTATTTTTTAATCAAAAACAACTAACGCTTGAGAACTGGTTATCGCAATTCGCAAACTAGACTGCCTGTTTTAGTGGAAATCATAATTAATTGATAACCCTAACTACTGAACAAATCCACAGAAATGACGTGTTTTGTTGTCAAATATAAAATGACAGGTGTCAGATAACAGTACTTAAAATGAAATTAGCTTGCGAGCGTCAAAAATATTTTATTTAAATAATTATTTTTTTTTTTTTTTTTGCTTTTAAAAACACGTGTTTACGTGTTGAGCCTAGACTTGTTGGTAGCGGTGAAGGTTACGCACGTGCTTTTGTCGTTCCTACGTTTAGTCTGTTAGTTTTAGTGTTTTTATTCATAGTGAAGCGAACTGAAAACCTTTTAGTCCTGTGTTGTCGTGTTTTTATCTGTGTGTGTAATTTTTAATAAGGTATTGGTTGTTGTAAGTGAAGTTAACCACTTGTTCCCCCTTTAATCCTAATCTCCGAAATGGACGAGGAGAAACCACCTGACCCTCCTGATAAATCCCCCCAATATGAAACCGAATCAATCCTCACGATTATCCTTCCTCCCAACACCCCGGAATCTGAAACAATGGAGTTAGAAACCGCGAACAGCAGGAAACGACATGCCGGCTCCCCACCTATCTCCCAGAATAATCCCCCAAAACTGGCAAAAAGTACGCACGGTAGACAGTGCTACACGGCCAGGGATAACCCCCCATATATAGTTTATGTATCCCTTAAGGATTCCCAGACGTCTGGAACCACGCTACACCCTGTTAAGTTTGGGATGTTTTTAATGAAACACAACATTAATAATGTTAAAATGGTGGTGTCAAACGGCTGGGTAGGAATAGAGTATCGGTCGAGTTTGTGTCTCACCAGGATGCAAACAGTTTCTTAGTGAACGGTATGGTGGCTCAAAACTACGTGACCTCGATCCCACAGTTTAACATAACTCGTATGGGCATTGTAAGGGACGTCCCTGTCGAGTGGACAGAGGATGAAATAATTGGTAATATCAGGGTTCCCGCCGGGTGTGGGGCTGTGATAAAAGCTAGGAGGATGAATAGAAGAGTTACATCTACAAATGGTACTGAATGGAAGCCTACGCAAACTGTAGTGCTAACTTTCGATGGTCAAACCCTACCCAAAAAGGTGTTCTGTTTTTATTCAGCACTGCCGGTGGAATTGTACTCATACCCTACCATACAGTGTTATAATTGTTGTCGTTTTGGGCACACCCGCACCCTTTGCCGCTCCAAGCCACGTTGTTTCAGATGTGGCCAGGATCATCCAGGCGATGGATGTCAGATTGCAGCCGAGATTGCCCATTGTATCAACTGCAATGGCAATCACTTTGCTAACGACAAAGCTTGTCCTGAGTTGGGTCGCCAGAAGAGCATCAAAGCATTGATGGCGGAAAAGTCAATCTCATATACGGAAGCAAGCCAAGTTTTCCCAACTGTTAAAAGGTCTTATGCTGAGGTCTCAAGATCAGCCAACCTTATAGTTTCATCTCCCAACAAAACTCCATCCCAACAAAGAGTGTCCTACAAGAAAACAGTCCAACTCAAGCCTAAATCACATACGCCCCTCTCTCCTAGCTATGATAAGAAGGCCCATCGGGCCCTTATCCAAGACTACTCTTTCTCCCCGTCTAAAAATGGTTGCGCTTTCCCTGTGGAATCCGGAACCAATACTCGTAGCTCCAAGTACATCCTAAATATAGTCTCTGATATGCTCATGGCAGTGCTAGCAAACCCTGCCCAAAATATACCTGACCACGTCGCACACAAACTTTCTACAATTCTAGATTACATCTGTAACATTCCATCCTCTAACACTGCTTCAGTGGAACGTGAGGAGTACTCTTCCCAGGAAGAGTGACTTACTCCACTTGATAAATAAATTTAAACCATCGATTTGTGGCATTGCTGAGACATGGCTTCAACCGAATATTAATTTCGGGATCCCGTGTTTCAGTGTTGTCAGACATGACAGATCTGATGGTTATGGAGGGTGTGCTTTGTTAATTAATAACAAAGTGCCCTTCACCCAGATCCCTCTACCCTTCGTTGGCGATGACATAAATGTTGTCGCTGTTAAGGCTGAGGACATAAATATTTTTGTATTTTATATTGCTCACCCTCATGTTGATCACATTATGTTAATTAAAAGTTTACTAACCTTGGTAAGTGGCCCATTGCTTGTAATGGGTGACTTCAACTGCCACCACTATAGATGGGGTTCAGATGTATGCGATAATGTAGGTATTGAATTAGTAGAGATGCTGGACGAACTCGAATTGTGTGTCATCAATGATGGCAGCCCTACTCGTAGGTCTGCATTTGGTCAAAGAAACAGCTGTGTGGACTTGACCTTCTGCTCGCCTGCTATGGCTGGCGTGCTTAATTGGAGTTGTTTGAATTTGACCTATGGTAGTGATCACTATCCTATCATAATTAAACACCTGTCAAAATCTATTCCAGATAAACCCCTTCCCCCCCCTATTAAAATATCGTTTGAATGCAGCTGATTGGGATCTTTATTCAAAATTATTAGACTACCGTATCTCCTTCCTTTCACCAATTAATCCTGAGAATGCTTTGGAGTGTTTCTCAAAATTTTCGGACCTGATAGCCTCCACTGCAGAAGATTGCTTTCCGGTGAAAAACGCACCGAAAGGCAAAATCCCTTCTCCGCCATGGTGGGATAGTGAATGCACTGCCATGATAAGGGCTAGGAATGAGGCTGAAAAGACATATAACCAAGATATGAACCTGGAAAACCTCATAAATTTCAAACGAATTTTGGCTAAGTCAAGGAAATTGTTCAAAAAAAAGAAGAGACAAGGGTGGCAAAGATTTTGTGGTTCTCTGAGCCCATCCACACCAGTATCTACAGTTTGGCAGAGAGTGAAAAATTTCAGGAGCTCCACCAAACCTCCCACTATCTCGATTTTACCCGAATCTCTAAGTAACAGATTTTTAAATAGTATTGCTCCAGTATATGTTCCCAGTGCAGACGAGTGCTGCCAGAGACCCTATGACGAAACACATGAACCGCTCGATTTGGAGTTCTCTTATGAAGAGCTCCAAACGGTACTCAACCATGTCAAGGACTCGGCACCAGGGATTGATGGGTTCCCTTACTCCTTCCTATCTAAGGCAGGAACTAAAACAAAACAATACTACCTTGACTTGGTCAATTTTTGCTTTACTTCAGGTTATATTCCTCCTACTTGGAAGGTTCAGGTTATCATGCCGCTGTTGAAAGCTGGCAAGATCCTGGTGATCATAAGTCCTACCGACCTATCGCTCTATCGTCCGTACTTATTAAAACTTTTGAACACCTCATTAAAAACCGCCTTGAATGGTTGGTTGAAAGCCGGAGGCTGCTTCCGGCGACTCAGTTTGGCTTCAGGAAAGGTCTGGGTACGGCTGACAGTGTGGGTGTCCTCACGTCAGCCATCCGACTGGCCCTTAGCAGGCAGGAGTCGCTGGTCGCGGTCTTCCTGGACATCTCAGCGGCCTATGATTCTGTCCTCTTACCCCTTCTCAGGCAGAAACTGCAAGAGCTGAGAATCCGAGTGGGATTTGCCGAATTATAGGCTGTATCCTCTCCAATCGTACCCTCCAATTGAGAACTCCTGAGGATAACCCAGTACAGAGGTCCTCCTGGAAAGGTTTACCTCAGGGGTCAGTCCTTAGTCCTATCCTTTATAATATATATACCTATGACCTCCCCTCCTGTTTAAATTTTAACTGTAATGTCCTTCAGTACGCTGACGATATCGCATTAATGGTCACCAGCAACTCTATAACAGAGGCCGCCCACTCCATCAATGTCTCTTTGTCCTCATTAAACCAATGGCTTCTCAATCACGGGTTATCTTTAAGTGCCCCAAAAAGCTCGGCTGTCATTTTTACACGCAAACGACGCACACTCGGATCTTCGTATAGAGATGGACGGTCAGACTATCCCGATTAAAAGCAGCGCTAGATTTTTGGGAGTTCATCTCGACTCAAAGATGTCTGGGGTGGACCACATAAACACCGTAGTTGGAAGGTGTGAACGCTCAGTATCAATACTCAGAGCTCTGGCTGGGGTATGGTGGGGTGCTCACCCCTCTTCATTGAAGCTCATATACAATGCATTGGTCAGAAGTGTAATGGACTATTGTTGCTTCCTTATTGTACCTTGCAATAAGGAAGCATTAAAAAAACTAGACTCCATTCAGGCCAAATGCCTTAGAATAATTATTGGAGCTATGAAATCATCCCCCATAAACGCTCTTCAGGTTGAATGTGCGGAGCCTCCTCTCAACCTTCGAAGACAATACCTTGCAGACCGCTTCATATCAAAAGTCCTCTCCCTCTCATCACATCCCCTTCTCCCTATCCTAGATCAAATCCACTGTTCCTACAGCTCCTCTTCCTACTGGAAAAATAAACCTGTCCCTCCCGTGATTGCTAGGTACAGGGAGCTTAAAAACCTCTCTGCACCCATAAGTCAATATCCTGTGCTCCCAGTGTTTTCTTCCGTATATGAGGTTATCCACTTTAGACCAAAACTGATTTTAGGACTTGGCATTTCGAAATCCACCGTGAATGCTGCAGACGAGTTCAAACGTGCCTTGGACAAATACTGGAGAGGTTGGAATACCTTCTACACAGACGCGTCTAAATTATCCCGAATCGGATGTACAGGAGTGGCAGCGTACTTCCAAAATTCGAGGATCGCTCTCCTCTCCAAGTGTCCCCCGGAGGCATCAGTCTTCACGGGTGAATGTGCAGCCATTTTGGAATCACTCAAATTTATTAGAGCTCACAACCTCAAAAATTCCGTAATTTTTTCTGATTCCCGAAGTAGCCTACAGTCCCTCAACCAAGATCAGCTCCATTCCCGAACCCATAGCAGTTTGGTTGTTGAGATAAAGGCGCTTCTTCTTTCCTGCTTCAATGATGGCCTAAACATCGAGATCGCTTGGATTCCTGGCCACTCTGGCATATGCGGTAACGAGTGTGCGGATTCCTTAGCCAAATTTGCGGCCTCGAACGATGTCGAACGTCAACACTACGTGGTTTACGGGTATGATGTACGTGCCGACACCAAACACAAGCTTTTTGACTCATGGGCTGCAGTGTGGGTAGACACTTCCAAAAGTAAAGGAGCCTACTATGCAAGTGTCCAGCCCGGCATCCGGCGGAGGCCTTGGTTTTCCAAGTACCCTAAGCTCCCCCGCCACACTGTTTCATCCTTGTGCAGACTCAGACTCGGCCATTGTAGTAGCCCAGTCTTCCTCAACAAGATCCGTGTCCGCGACAGCTCGCTGTGTGAATGCGGCCTTGACGAGGGAACTGTAGACCATATATTTTTTTCGTGTCCTTTAAATTCCCAATCTTTTGACCTTTATAAAAAACTCCCCAGTATTCAAATCCCACTTCCAATTAATTTCCACCTCCTTTTAACTCACTTTTCCCCTAAATTAATCCATTGTTTATGTAGATTCATTAATGATAATGAGATTAAACTATGACGGTGACATTTATGTAAATGGCGTATATATCTGTGTGTCTGTATTGTGCATTGTGTACGTCCCCTCAACTATTTTCTTCACCCCTGTACTCATACAGTAAAATAGTTGTTAATATTTATATGTTTACTAACCCAATTGTTTTGTCCTTTCAGTTACTAACTACTAAAAACTACCGCAAAGTTAACTTCGACGGCTCATTAATCTGCCGTCACCACCTGACACTGGCAGTATAGTCGACAACATCGTATTGGAGACTCGGTTGCCAAAGAAGAAAGAAAAAAAAAAAAAAAAAAAAATTATTTTTTGTCATTTGAAGTCTAGGACGTTGAAAAAGTGGCGGACGTATTTTATTGAAACAACAACTATGGCATGGGCTTAGATTTTATAATTTACACGCAGAATACTCGCACATGCAATACCAACACCATTATCTAAAGTAATTAATTATTCATGACTAAATTCAACTAAAATGTTTGATAAATGCATTGCCATGTATCAGTAACATATATTATATTAAGTAACATATTCATCAAACTATATTTAGATTATCTTAGAAAATGTTTTTTTATCTTGAAAGTATACTTACTAACTACTCGGTTCAATGTCTGTTTTCTATATAAAACCACGTACTTCAGAAAAGGTACCAAAAATCAATTGTGGTTCATGTAGCTCACAAACGACTTTTGTCACTACACTATTTAATGGGCAGAGGGCAGAGTCTAAGCCATGTTTGTTTCCATTTTGGCACACAAGTACGTACACAGTTCATATCCTTTTATTTCTTTAATCATTG